CAGGTGCATCTGCAGCTGCAGTGGGTAGCGGAGCAGCAGACCGATGAGCCTCCGTTCCTGCTTCCGCAGCAGCAGCACGCCGAGATGCAGCAGCAGCAGCAGCAGCAGCAGGATGAGTACAGAGGTCTAAAGAAGCTTGATCTTTTAATGACTCCTGAGTTGATGTGTTCTTTGAAGACCCCAGCGAGCACCTGCGACAGCGACAGCACGCAGCCTGAGGAGGATTCTGCTGCTGCTGCTGCTGCTGCTGCTGCTGCTGCAGCAACAGACGGAGATGGAAACGAACAGCTGCTTGGTCCTGCAGGTGTGGGGTTTGTGCTGTCTCCTGCAAGCATACGTCAACTGTCTCCTTCAGGTTTTGTGCTGCCTGTACACCCCAAAGTCGTGCAGGATACACCTCCATTCGGGTCCCTTCTATCTCCCCCTCTAAGTAAGAAGCAAGCAGGCTCTTGTTTTCTGTTGTTGCTGCTGCTTCTGCTTCTGCTGATGCTGCTTCTGTTGTTGTTGGTGCTGCTGCTGCTTCTGCTGTTGCTGCTGCTGCTTCTTCTGTTGCTGCTACTGCTGCTGCTTCTTCTGTTGCCGTAACTTCTATGTAGGTGTTGCTGCTGCTGCTGCTGCTGCTGCTGTCTCTTCTCTAGTCCACTCTGTATCTATTTTTAACTGTATATTTGTTTGTCTCTCTTTTTGTCTCTTTCCTCTTCTGTCTCCTCCCTGTCTCCTCATTATTGTATATATTTATTTTATCTTCTACTTCATTTCTTCGGCTGTCTATGCAGGTCCTGTCGCTTCACATCTTTTTCCTGATCTATTTCATTCTTCACAGCAAGTGGGGGGGAGCTCCCCAGGGGAGGGGCTCCTTGGGGGCCCCCTTGGGGGGCCCCTTGGGGGCCCCCTAGAGGGACCCCTAGAGGGGGGGCCCCTTGGGGGGCCCCTTGGGGGGCCCCTTGAGGGGCCCCTGGGGGGACCCCTAGAGGGGGCCCTTGGGGGACCCCTGGAGGGGGCCCTGGGGGGGCCCCTGGAGGGACCCCTGGGGGGCCCCTCACGGGGAAGGGCCCCAGGGGCCCCCCTTAACGCCTCCGGCGACTTACAACATTTTGCTTCTGCATGCGAGGTGAAGATATTAAATAGATTTGTTGCTGCTTCTGCTTCTATCTTTTCTTTTATTTGCACGTGCTGTGGGGCTATTAGAGACAAGCAATGCTGTTGCATCTGCTGCTGCTACTGGTATTGTTGCTGCTGCTGCTTCTAGTGCTTCTGGTGCTGCTGCTGCTGCTGCTGCCACTGCTGCTGTTGCTGCTGCTGCCACTGCTGCTGTTGCTGCTGCTGCTTCTCAGTAAAGGAGAAAGAAAATATGGAGTGTATATGCAGGCTTATCGAAGTGCTCTGAGTGTACTGAATGTCTGCTTGTGCTGCTTTCCTTCTGCGTGCTGCTGCTGCTGCTGCTGCTGCTGCTGCTGTCTTTGCTGCTCTGTCTTCTCCAGGCCTCTGAGGTGTCTCCTGATGGGGAGCCCAATGGGGCTGCATGCGGGAGCAACAGCCCCACCGATGTTTCTTCCTTTGCCTTTTCTTCTTCTTCTTCTTCTTCTTCTGCTTCTTCTTCTTCTTCTTCTTCTTCTTCTTCTTCTGGTGGTGTGGGGTGTACATACAGCTCTCCAGATACTCCGCAGGAGCAGCAGCGGCAGGAGCAGCAGCAAGAAGAGCAGCAGGAGCAGGAGCAGCAACAGCAGCAGCAGGAGAAGCAGCAGCAACAGCAGGAAGAGAAGGAGGAGCAGCAGGAGCAGCAAGATCTGTTGGATGCTGCTGTCTCCTGTTTCTCTGTCTCTTCCGCTTTGTGTGCATCAGGAGACAGGAGAAAGAAGCAGCAAAAAGCACTTCTTGCTGATCTGAGTTGGTTTATAACCCGCATTTGCTGCGAGTGGAGGAACGGCACGGGAGCAGCAGCAGCAGCAGCAGCCGCAGCAGCAGCAGCAGCAGCAGGGGAAGGCAATTTGAACTTTTTGTGGAGTCGATCAGCCACGCTGTATTCTACAGGATACACTGGTGATGCAGACAGCAGCAGCAGCAGCAGCAGCAGCAGCAGCAAACTCTTTCTTGCACAATCGAAGCTGCAGCAGCAGCCTTGGTGCTTCAAAAGTGCTGCGCTGTCTGTACACTCCAAACCCCACAACCCCCTGATCTGGGGCCCGGTGCCGCATGCAGCACATCTCTTGCATGCAGAGCAGCAAAGGGAGGTGAAGAGACACCTGAATCAGGGCTTAGGAGACACTCCGTCGCTTAACGCAGCCAGGGGTCTCTGAACTGCAGCAGCAACCGCAGCAGCAGCCGCAACATCAACCGGAGCATCAACATCAACAACAACAGCAGCAACAGCAGCAGCAGCAGCAGCAGCAGCAGCAACAGCAACGGCTCATGCGGCTGCTGCTGGGGCGGCGAGACAGACGACCGCCCGCAGCAAGCCAGTACTCTTAGCGTGCTGGAGTAAACAAATACAAAAAAGATA